AGAGACTATTTGTTTTGTATTAAACATACTCATTCGACAAATAACCTACATCCAAATTAAGCATATGTCACTCAAAGCAAATACAGAATTATTAATCACATCCTGAGAGGCATCTAACTTTTCTCTTTTGGTGTTGCCCAATTCCTTCATCTTGCTTTCTATTTTCCATTAATGCACAGGAACCAATCCAAGAGTCACATTCACTATGAAAATTACTCATCCACTTCAGAAAAGAATCTCACAGACACATTTTCTGGACTCCTAATTTTGAAACATATTCCATGTATTATTTGGAGAGTAATTTTCCTTGGAGAATAAAGGACATGGATTGTTCTATTCCCTCTCCCCCGCATAAGATCTAGGAGGCTGCCTCAAGCACCCAATCAATACACAGATTGATTACTGAACTCCACAGAGTGCCTAAAAATGACCAGCATTCAGAGAGCTGGTAAAATTATTAGTCACTGAAATAAGCGGTCTGGTTGTAAATCCCAATTATTTTTAGTATCAACACAGCAATGTTTTTCACTAAACCAGTGCTGTTTAATACCTTCATCAGTGACACAGACGGTGGGATCGAGCATACCCTCAGCAAATTTGCAGATGACACCAACCTGAGTGTTGCAGTTGACATGCCTGAGGGATGGAATGCCATCCAGAGGAACCTTGAGAAATGGGCCTGTGCAAAACTCATGAGGTTCAACAAGGCCAAGTAAAAGGTCCTCCACTCAGTCTGAGGCAACAGACTCAGTGGATGAAGTGATTGAGAGCAGGCCTGCAGGGAAGGACTTGCGGGCACTGGTGGATGAAAAGCTGGACATGAGCCACCAATGCATGCTCACAGCCCAGAAAACCAACCACATCCTGGGCTGCATCAAGAGAAGTGTGGCCAGCAGGTCGAGGGAGGTGATTCTCTCCCTCTACTCTGCTCTGGTGAGATCCCACCTGCAGTGCTGCATCCAGCTCTGGGGCCCCCAACATAAGACAGACATGGAGCTGTTGGATTGGGTCCAGAGGAGGGCCACGAAAATGATTAGAGGGATGGAACACTTCTCCTACGAAGAAAGGCTGAGACAGTTGGGGTTGTTCAGCCTAGAGTAGGCTCTGGGGAGACCTTATAGCAGCCTTTCAATATATAAAGGGGGCTTCTAAGAAAGATGGAGAGAGAGTTTTTAGAAAGGCCTGTTGTGATAGCACAAGGGGTAAACTTGAACGTTTTAAACTCAAAAGAGGGTAGATTTAGACTAGATATATGGAAGAAATGTTTTATAATGAGGGCGGTGAAACACTGGAACAGGCTGCTCAGTGAGGCAGGTGGTAGATGCCCCACTCTGACCCTGGAAACATTTAGGGTTAGGTTGGACAAGGCCTCTAAGCAATCTGATCTAGTTGAAGATGCCCCTGCTCATTGCAGAGGGGTTGAACTAGATGGCCTTTAAAGGTCACTTCCAACACAAACTATTCAATGATACCAACTGAAACCCACATGCTCAGAAAGTCAGTCTGTGGCAGACACATAGAAAATTTACTTCACTTTAGTAACTTTAGCAAGAGTTTAAGCTTTGAAACAATTCTTATTAAATAAGCAGATAAGGCAAGCATAGAAATGAAAAAAAAAAATTAAATTGCCTGTATATATCTAAGATCATCTGTCCTGAAAGAGCATAAGTTCACCAACGAGTAAGAAGATTGCCAATAATATGTAGAAACTGTCTCTTCTATGATTTTGTAGTACTAACTTATAATTTGAAATACATAATTAAACTAATTTCATGCAAGGGAAGAGTCAAACATCTCAAACGTATCTCTAATTTTATCCAAGTTATTTTATAACTTGCCAATATGTTTACTTTTCTCATTTTAAAGTAAACTGAATAACCAAAAGGTAGTTGATAATAAGAATAATAGTAATACTAAAAATCAGACGACCATTTAATCATGTCAGTAAAAAGTTTATTATTTTATATTCCAAGTTAAAAAAACTGTTACACATTTTCTACATAACAGTTCAAAGCATCAACAGTGTTTTCTCTACAGGAAAGGATTACTTTATAACAACACTTTTTTGCATTAAATTAGCTTAATTATGTATTTAAAATTTGAAAGAATCTATTGAGAAGAGTTCAATAATTTCTGCCTTTACTGGAAAGCAGTTCAAAATAAATAGCTAACACAAACCGCTCAGAGGAACTTCTACTTAACCAGTATCACAAAACACAAAATAAAAAACTGGAAGTCACATAAAGCCAAACTATCATTTTCAGTAAGTTACTTCACTAGGTAAACACATACCTTAAGACTACCAAGATCAAGAAGCAGTAAATTTGAAGTATGGTCATAGAATCCTTTTTGTGGAACAATGATGTATGAAGCCATGAGGTTAATTTTGAGGTCAAGAACTTTCTGGGTTTCAATAACGTACAACAAACCTGAAAAATAATATAATTAATAAATATAAACAAAGTAATCCATATAGAAGCTATGGAATTAAAAGCAGCTATAAAAAGATATCCGAGTCTCTCTTTAAATGAGCTGCAAATGCTAGAAAACTAAGTCTAATTGCAGGTACAGACACTCTTCAGATTTCTTCTGAATCAATAATTGTAGGTAGTCTTTAAAGAGGCACCAAATAGATGAAATGAGGATAGCAAACAATGCTGATACACAAGTAGAGACAGGAACATCACATACAAATCCAAAAAAGTTTCATACTGAGTAGAGATGAAATGAGAAGAATCAGAATGTATACTGCAACCTGGCAATTGCTGAGTTACCCATTGAGCTCTGTAGATTCATAAATTTAATTTTCTAGAAGTTCTTACTGTGAGAATCCATCTGCCTTGGCCAAACTGCTAGTGTTGTTACTACTGAGATACTGAAGTTTACACTGATTCTACTAACAAGCATCTCCATCCTGAGATGCTGAAGACCAGCAAATACAAGGTCTTACAAAAATTCTGTTTAAAAATCATGCAATTAGTTGGGAAATCCAGACTCTCCGAACATTTGAGACCAAATTCTGTTTTTTTGCTCATCTGAAGAGGAAGGAACTGCCTTGCTTCAAGTCAGCACTGAAAACTGCCTTAGTATGTAGCCACAACCCATTAAGTATTTACCAGGTGCAACAAGCTGATGACCACAGAAGTAGAGGTAATAAATTATGAAAACATGACACTGCAGCACTCCCACACTGGTAAGAAAGCAAACTGTTCCAACATTATCAAAGGTTGTCCTAACACAGGGAGAGCTAGATTAGTCAATGAAGAACTGGATGTGCAACGACATTTCAGGATTTGCAAGACAAAATAACTTGGATTAATTAAAAGATTAAGATTTTTTCAGTTTTTTAATGCCTAACTGTATTTGAATGATGCAGAAAGTTCAAGAAAATACTTTCTTTTCTCCTTCATTTGGGAAGAGAATGTAGTTGAGTCCATAAATCTAACTCTGGCAAACTAAGCTTTTGTAATGTCTTTTAGTGATGCTGAAAATCAAAACTATTTTGGTGTAGCAAGTGTCTTTACTTCTTCAGTTTACAGTTCCTCATTATTTTTCAGCTATCTTCTACTGCTTGAAAGAAAAGTGCTAAGAACTCCTTCCTGAGAAGGACTGCAAGTCTGAAATTATTAGTTATATTTATACCACCCCATTATTTTACTCTGCTTCTGAGATTAGCATAGTCCCCTGCAACACAATATTCTGCAGATCAAATCTTCTTCCCCTGGTAATTTTGTAAGTCAGCCAAGATTTTACAAGCAATGTACAGCACATTTTTAGAAATTCCATCAGGCTTCTCATTTGTGAGTGGAACAAGCTTTTAGATTACTATGGGCAACTCAGCACTTTTGTGAAGGTAAGAGTCATTGGCTATACCTCTAAAGTAATGTTATGCTTAAGTTACAATAGACACATAGCATGATCTCTTATTTCCACAAAAAAAAACGAATCACTATCAAAACCAAAGTATTTGGTGGTAATGAGCAGAGAACCGACCATATTGAATCTAAGCAAATTTTTATCAAATTAATCTCAGGAACTAATTGTAGTATCAAAGTATTCGGTATTGCTGGAGAAGTCTGTGATAGAAAAGACAAGCAACTTGATCCACCTAACTTTGACTGGTTAATCTGACATTACTTCTTAATTAAACAGTTCAGACAAAAAAAACCCTAATGGATAAAAATACAATTGATGCCTGATTTCATTCCTGATATTAGCTTGATAAAACGATTAAACATACATTATGCTTTAGTGTTCTGAAAGGTCTTTCACTTGTTATCACTGACTATTCAGATTTTTTAACTGTAAATTTAAATATTAGCAGGTTACAAATTTAAATGAGGTGAAAAAAATTTATTGATTTTTTTTTTCCTTTTAAGAGGAGTTCATCTATGCAATCTCCCCTTAACACTCTCTCCCATCCACAAGTCAGAGACAGGATACTGCGCTGGACATACCTCTTCAAACATCCCTACTGGAACAAGGTAAATCCACAAATCTCCAAGTTAGTCTTAAAAGTATTCACAGTTTCATTCATGTGACAAAATACAAGTTCTCTAGAGATAAAAAGCCAGTGTTGTTTAATATCTTCATTAATGACATCGACCGTGGCATTAAAGTGCACCCTTAGCAAGTTGCTGGGTTGTGCAGTCGAGATACCAGAGGGACAGGATGCCATGTAGAGGGACCTAGACAACCTCATGAGGTTCAACAAGGCCAAGTGCAGGGTCCTGCACCTGGGCCGGGGCAACTGCTGGTATCAATACAGGCTGGGAGAAGACATGCTAGAGAGCAGCCCTGTGGAAAAAGACTTGGGGGTACTGGTGGATGAAGATCTGGACATGAGCCACCAGTGTGCAATGCAGCCCAGAAGGCAAATCGCATCAAAAGAAGTGTGGCCAGCAGGTTGAGTATGGTGATTCTGCCCCTCTACTCTGCCCTCATGAGACCCCACCTGGAGTGCTGCATCCAGCTCTGCAGTCCCCAACACAAGAAGGACGTGAACTGCTGGAGCGTGTCCAGAGCAGGGCTATGAAAATGATCAGAGGGCTGGAGCACCTCTCCTATGAAGACTGGCTGAGAGACTTGGGGTTGCTCGGCCTGGAGAGGAGAAGGCTCCGAGGGCACCTTATAGCAGCCTTCCAGTACCTGAAAGGGGCCTGTAAGAAGGCAGGGGAAGAACTGTTCACAAGGGTTTGTAGTGATAGGATGAGGGGTAATGGTTTTAAGCTAGAAAAGGGCAGATTTAGGAAAAAGTTCTTTAATATGAGGGTGGTGGATCACTGGAACAGGTGGCCCAGAGAGGTAGTGGAAGCCCCATCCCTGGAGACATTCAAGGTCAGGCTTGATGGGGCTCTGAGCAACCTGACCTAGTTAGAGATGTCCCTGCTTATTGTAGGGGGGGCCAGACTAGATGACCTTTAGAGGTCCCTTCCAATCCAATACATCCTGTGATTCTATGAAATGAAAACTAGAGGAAAAGCTTTAATAATGAGTAACAAGAAGACAGATAAATATAGTTTATACAACAGGATCTGAGTCAATCCAGATCAAAATCAACATTTATCGAGGAACAAAGAAAGTTGAAAACACCTACACAAAGGCAGGTAGTGTCCTGAAAAGCAACAACTCTGGGAAGCTTTTAGGGGTTTCATTAGAGGACTAGTATCTCAGTATCAGTTTTTAAAGAATATGAAACAATTTAGACATGCAGACAGAATAAATACTGAAATACTACCTTAGGGTGTGGAGCATATTTTACAAAGAATATTAAAGTTGAAAAAGATACAGACATAAAATTAGCAAATACCTAGAACAAATGCTTTGTAATGATACTGAAGAATTCAGCTGATTAGGTTTTGTGTTAGAAAGCTATGGCTTACATCCATGTATCTCTAGATGGAAATACACAGTATCTTCATACTCATAGACTCTAAAATGTGTCTGAACGTGCAATCAGAAGAGTATGCAGCACTTGCCTGTTGATGTTTTTTCACGGAACTCTTCAAGCTTCATCAGAGTTGCTGATGTCAATTGCTCTAAATGTACATCTTTTGGAGGCCTGAAGAAATCCACTAAGCTATTTATTGTCATCTGTTAAAAGAAAGCAAAAAGAATATGTGGTAAATTTACTATTAAGTGGGATTTTTCAAGATTTACAACTTATTCAAATATTTACTTACCGCATCATATACTATTTCCAGTGGCTGTGATTCTATTCTAAGCCTCTGATCCGCTTTCTCATCCAAAGGATTAGTCTCAAACATTATGCTTAAGAGTGAGGTACTCTTGTCTGAATACATCGTTCGAGAAGACAGGAGACAGGGTGTACACTGTTCTCGGGACATGCCTGTAACTTCGAGTGAGGTAATTTTTGTTTCAAATCTGTAAAGAAAGGTAAACAGCATGTTCAGATGCAATATCCATCTGGCTAGGTACAATTAGACGGTAAGAATAAAAGGAACAAGCTGAAAGAAAGCAAAACAAAACAAAAAAACCAAACAAAAAACCCAACCACAACCTATGTCTACCCTACTTCAACTATAAATAGCTTAGTCTAAGGATATAGCACATATATTCATGTGCTAATTGTTTTCTACTTCACTATCTTTTGTGCCTATTAGACACCCTTGAGTAAATAAGGGGGTCCAATTTATTCACTTCATACACTTTTCAGGAGGACCTCAGATGTTAGGGCAGGGAAGACACGCAAATGGAAATTCTGTAGTATGAGCTTAGGAATTAGATGGCACAGTTTATACTGGTGAACAGAGATACAGCAGAGAAATAAACACCACAAGAGGAGCACAAGAGTAACAGGCTCACATACTCTGAGGAAGTATTTTCTTAGGTGTTGGATTTTTTTTTTTTTTTCCAATACCCTGTCCACCTCTTTAACAGCTCTCAGTTGAAGATCTTTGTTTCCCAACACTCAACGGAAAAGTGTTTCACTGTAAAAATAAAACATTTCCTTCCCTTTTTCTCAGTATAAAAGCATTACTAGGGCCATTTAGATGCACAGGGAAATAAACAGAAAAGCTGCAAGCAAAACATAAAAAAAATGTATGCATAAAACTCAGCATATCTTAGTATCATACACAGATTATATTAATATGCCCCAAAGTAGAGGGGACAAGGTTTAAAACAGGAAGGCTACCCTCCCCCAGAATTTTTAAGTCATTGTATTTGAAATGAAAATAAAATATTTCATATCCCTGTTTTTCATCATCTACTATGAGAGCACAAAACCAAGCCAAAATCAGTCACAGCTTTCTTCTGCAAATCTAAAAGCTCAACCAAAAACTCAAGAAGAATTTTTCAGTCATATTAAATGCCTATACACAAGCGGTTACGAGATCACCTTGCTCAGGTTAAGTTTCAAAAGGAGTCGCAGTCACTAATACAAGTTACTAACTGGATTGCTTGTACATAACAATGATAAACTGAAAAAAAAAGGAGAAAATCTGTATTGGCACAAAAAATTCTGAAGAGGGAGAGAACTTAATCATGGAAAGAGTATTCACTCATTTTGTCCATCAGTTGCAGCATGATTCTGTTCCTAAACTGCACAAGACATGACAGTGAAAAATGGAAGTTAAACATAACAGAACCTTAAAATGCCTATTAGCCGTCATAAACATTTCCTGAGGAACAAAACCAGTTTGATAGAACAAGTTTACCTTATTGCTTGTGCACCTGGTCGTTGGGTAAATACTGTACTCAAGCCAGTTAATGCAAATTCTACCAGCTCAGGAGTTTGCTTGTTTTCTCTTATTGATATAGACATGCTTAGTAATTTCACAGAGAACTTCATGGCTTCATACTAGATATACAGGAAAAACAATAACAGTGTATTATAAAATATGTTAATAAACATTTCAATACCATTTATGAAGCAATGAGAACAATAAATACCAGTCTGATACTATTTTTCCAGTGCTATAAATAGCTTGTATCATAGCTGGTGTAAAAGTAACTCCTAAATAGGGGTCAGAGTAAGAGTAGACTATGCTACAAACATACGACACATACAAGTGTGTCTCTACAACACATCTTTGAGATAAAGGGCCTCTGACGTAGAGCTGGAAGGCAGTCCTTTGTAGCGACCATGTTATCTGACAAAGATGACTTATCAGATCATTTCTGAATGGTTCAAAAATGTTGCTCTTCGCCACTATAGTCCTTCAATCACCTCTTTCCTTATATATTCATCTACTCTACCTCATGTACTATCACTCATATTTAAGATTCCGCTGAACCACTTAATGCAATTTCTTTAAAAGGTTCTGAATATTTTAAGAGGCTATATGAAGCATTTCATAACTTAAAACACAATACACTGCTTGTATGACCTTATTCTATCTTGAGTGAGGAAAATTTCATTCTGAACTTTTTCAGAATATCCAAAGTAAGTTCTATAACCACTATTCTGAAACTACATCTAAGGACGGTCTGTACTGCACAAAGCCAGCATGCAGTAACTTAATCAAAAAGTGTTAGAATGGTATTCAAATACAGAGACAGAACTTCAAGTAATTTTAAAAGCGATTTCCTATCATCTTTAGATTTTTATTAGTAGATAAAGCTACCAATTGTTTGGTATCATAGTCGGTTATGACTTACTGATTTTGGAAGGGTTGGATCCACAGCTGTTTCACTATATCCAATTGCTGCATAAAGTTTAGCCTTCTCTTCACTTGTCATCAGCTCTTCAAGGCCTGTCAAGTTGCAAGAGGTTAGCTAAACTCAATATAGGTATCTGAAAAATGCAAATATTGTTACACACTGTTCACTGCTTGGTAGCTCTATAACGTACAGTAGATGCTGTCAACACTGTCCTGAATTAGTAAAAGCAAAAACCCTGAGGTTTAAAGCACAGCCCTGAGTCTCCCAATGCACGCTCTGTTCCGCTTTCGTTCCGACCAAGTCTATTTCCTAGCTTGCTAACAATAGAGGAACCTTTTTGACTTACTTTCTACATTCCACAACCTTTACTAGGTGCCCTGTACTTAAGTGAATCAAACTCCAATGCACTGCATGAAACAGCCAAATTATAAAATGAACGGAAGTAAAATTGTTTACATCCCATTAACTGCTACTGTTTTCTAGCACTTGCTTCAAATCCCCATTCACAGTACTCCATATAGACAAATCCAAAAACAGTGGCAGAAGAAAGCACAAACTGAAGACTGTTCAGGAAAACCTATAGAACGAATTGTAAAATACCTCCGTAACATGCAATTAACAACTTCAGCAGCAAAAAAAGGATAAGAGAAAATGTAAACGTCAGTAATTTGATAGCCCAAATATTAAACAAATCCAAAGATCCATTGCTAGGGACCTATTATTCCAATAAGTCGTTATTAGTAACAGGAAAAAAAAAAAAGAATAAACAAACATACTCGAGCCCTTCACTTCTTGTTTTTGTTCATCCTTTTTTTCACCTGACCAGCTCCAGATCCAACTAAACCAGCCACCAGAATTTTCATCATCTTGTTTTACTCCTGGTCTGTAGATTTTCAATCCAGCTTTAGTTGCCTGAAATTTAAAAAAATACAAGTATTTTCTTCATGGCTCTTTTCCTAAGATAAATATAGATCCAAGACATGCTCTAATATGTCAAAACACCATTAGACATCCATTGAAAAGGCAACATATTATTTTTTAGTTTTTCTTCTAATAACTTTTTTAAGTACACAGTGCATCATCAGACCAATTCTCACTTGCACAAAATCCATCACCGTTATGAACAAAAAGAGCAAGCAAAAGGTAGCTAATTTTAAGTCAAAAAATGTTTCTTACACAGCGGATTTTCTCTCTAGCTCTCACCACAAAAAAAAATATTCCAGGAACCATTAAAAATACATATGTAAGCAATTAAATAGTCAGCACAGGCCAAATTTACTATATTTTTCATTTCAAGATAGATGTCCTAAGTAATAATAATTAAAAAAAATATCATTACTCTTGTTATAGAATATTTACTCTAAGAAATATAGAAAACTATTCCTGGATCTGATACATACAGCTACAACAGTAGGGAAGCCTTCCCTTCTCCTACATTCATCGTTTCAACAACTATGGGATGTCCTGTCTGACGTCAGTGATGATTCCAATATTGGGTCCTCAAAGAAAGTGCAAGCTACATCCAGACTTGACCACTAAGTTTGACATAAGGGACAGCAAACAACCATCAAGCAATCCAAGAGAGAGGAGTTCTCAAAACTGTAGCGGACCAAACTAATTATTTTTCATCATCACTAATATGATCTGAAAAGACATGAAAACTTGCAGAAAAGCCCTGAATTTACAGATACTCTAGTGAATGTGATATTCAAAGTGAGTGAGACAGAGATCCCTTCTCAGCATTCAAAAAAACACAAGATCTCTCTGCAACACAATTAGGGAATACATCTGGCTGTAAATCAGAACTTTTTAGAGACTTACCACATCTCTCCACCTACAGGCCAATGGAAGGCAGGACCCTCCACAAAAACATAAAGGCTTCTGAACTGATACTATTGATTCATCTCAGAGAGATGATGCAGAATGTCAGCTAAACAACACAAGGCCTCAAAAAGTTCAAACAAAATCCCGCAAAGTCTTCTTTATAAAGGATACTGCTTTCTTTTAGTCACATTGATTATTAATGGAGAAAGACCACTATGCAGACTCCAGAAAACCTATGCAGACTCCAGAAAACCTATGCAGACTCCAGAAAACCTATGCAGACTCCAGAAAACCTATGCAGACTCCAGAAAACCTATGCAGACTCCAGAAAACCTATGCAGACTCCAGAAAACCTATGCAGACTCCAGAAAACCTATGCAGACTCCAGAAAACCTATGCAGACTCCAGAAAACCTATGCAGACTCCAGAAAACCTATGCAGACTCCAGAAAACCTATGCAGACTCCAGAAAACCTATGCAGACTCCAGAAAACCTATGCAGACTCCAGAAAACCTATGCAGACTCCAGAAAACCTATGCAGACTCCAGAAAACCTATGCAGACTCCAGAAAACCTATGCAGACTCCAGAAAACCTATGCAGACTCCAGAAAACCTATGCAGACTCCAGAAAACCTATGCAGACTCCACTTCAGTCTGCCAGAATGATGCTCAGACACTACTCTAAAATGTAAACAGTACAATAACCTAGGAAAAAAAAGGTTAACAAATCAAGTGTAACTACTCAAGTCATATTATCTTGCCTAAATGTGATTATGTACTTAAAAGTATTCTGCATTTGCTGTATTCTGACTAACATTTGCAAATAGTAACAAAAGATTATGTTCAACATACCACATATACAGGTGTTCAGCCTACATAATAGGGTATCAGGAAGGAAAGGAATAAACTAATAGTCTAGGCTACTGGGGGGGCGGGGGGAAGCCTGAGGCTTTGGGTATAATCGCTTCCAATTTGACTTATCCTATCATCTTTCGACTATATTTTCCACAGTAGATCTTCCTCACCAAAAGTGGAAAGAAATTTATCCTCAATCAGTTATTCTGAAGTAGCAGTATATGGAGCTATTTAATATTTGCTTAATTACAAGCTGAAACTAACTATGTCTATAATAACAAATGTGAAATACAAGGAAAATAGAAAGACTGTATGATGCACAATTCAAACACTAAAACTAAAACGCATCTCCTTAAAGTCTCCACAGCTTCATATTGCAGTCATTCTTCGACTCTAAATTTAAATGATGAAATTTTACCTCAACTTCTGCTTGTTGCCTTGCTAGAGTGATGTTAAAAATATCCAAGGCCTTTTCGAATTCCTAGAAAGGAAGTAAGAAATAATTTTTTGAGAATTTTCATTTGGTTAGGTGTCACAGCTCAGTTTTACAAGAAACGACAGTAAACAACTCTTTCAGTGCAACCCAAGCTAATTTGCTCAAGATGAAAACTTAAAATAAACCTGGAAAATAAAAGCACATCAGTTAAAGTTTTTCTGCACCGCAGTGATTAATTTAAAAAATTACTTAATATGTTTGTGAATACTACTCACAGAGAAAGGTACTGATGAAGTTGCAAGTCTGGCCCCTGAAAATTTTATTTTAACCTAGTACTGACTTAAGACATGTAAACACTTAAGTTTATCAAAATAACAAGATTAACAATATTTAAGCCTTTAACAGAATATGGCTCACCTCCAACAATTTTAAGATTTCTTCATTAGGTTTTTTTGATGTTATCTTTGTTTTATACAACTCTTTATAGTTCTTCACTTGTTTTCTATGGTGCTGAATATGTTCCCATGACCACATTTGGAGCTTAGGTTGAACATTTACTTCAAGGATGCCATAAATAACATATTTCCACCTAAAAGCAAAGACAAATGAAGTATAGCTTACTTGTCTCTTGGTATATTGAAAAGACACCTAGAGCTATGCAGACTCCCACTAAATACAAATTCAAGTTGTGAAAGAGTGAAATCCCTTGTCTAATATCACACTTCTGATCAACAGAGGAACCTAAGGATTATACTTTTTCCATACAAAGCTGAGAGGTTGCCATTTCCTAAAATTAAAAAGTAACCTTGCACAAAAAGTGCTCACAAATATATACATATATATATACACGTATGTGTGTCCGTGTGTGTGCGCCTACGTGTGTGTCCATGTATGTGAAAAATCAAAACCTATTTGTAAGGAATCTTCTTAATAGAAATCAAATCTCTGCCACCTGTGTTGAAAAGGTTTGCCTATTTTCAGATAATAGCGATGCTCTTGTAATAGTACCTAACATACAGTGGGATTGCCTTCATTAAAACAGAGTTAGGATACTAAAATACTATTGGACATTTCTGATAATGGTCTTTAAGACAGCAAATGGAGGCTTTCAAATATTTTGTCCTCACCTTTGGTTTGAGGTCCTCATCAATGTTTTTTAATACTCCTAGCTTAAGAAAAACAAACAAAAACAAAAGGGAAAACTTTTTCCAGGAGGAAATGAGTTCTAACCTACTTCAGTAAGAACCAATGCCTTGGTAACTATTTATAACTACTTCAAAACTAACAAATTATTTTCAAAATCTGAGCTGGCCTACCATATCTTGGCATTGTTGTGCAATGGAACATCAGGTCTGTACTTCCTGTATGGCAGATTTCGAGTCATCATATCAATAGACTCAAGAAGCTCCATAACACTGAAGTACTAAAAAACAAATAAACAAAAAAATTCAAACTGAGTGTTATTGTCTTTCTGAGAACAACGTGAATCAAGCTTCTCTTTAAAAAGAAAATAATTTACAAAGGAAAACAAGACAAAGAAGCGAATTGACTCTAAAATTTCAGACTGCTTTTCTTATTATTCTTACAAACGAACTTTTTTACCGCACTACATACAACTTCAGAAAAATAGTTTATACCTGTGGCTTATTGAATTCAACAGTTATATCCTGTAAATGTACATCTAAATCCATTTTCGGTGATGAAAAGTCAACATCAGATCGAGGATTCATAAGGAGTTTGGCTCGAGCTGAAATTGGGCGGAATACTAAAAAACAGAAGTTGATATAAAAAGTGCAATTAAATTATTAAAGATTATGTATCATTTATGGCAATTATCAGATCAAGTTATGCCAAATTATTGATTTTAAAATGCTATATTTCAAAACATGAACACTTCATCAACACAGCTTAAAATATAATACGATCTATACTCAATTCCCAGTTGGCAACATTTGTGGAACAAATACTTGTGGAATATTTTTACAAAATTTCCTGTATGCAGTATTAAATGGCAGATATTTCAATTAATAGTTTCTATTTGCAACAAACCTAATTTTTTTGGCTATAAGCTATTTATAGTACAAGACAATTTTCAAACATAGCAGTTATTTCACTATAATAACTCTTACTCCATAAAGGTTTTTGATTTTTTTTAACATTCCTAATGTTTTACTGTTTGACAAATTATACTCACAACAGTGGATAAAACCAAACATTGCACATTTCTAAATCCAAGCCCAAGTAACCATGGAAAAAATCAATATGGATCCTACGTAAAGCAAAGCACATCACATGAAAAATATTCAGAGCAGAAACGTTTTATCTGTTCCACAATTTGGCAATATCAGGCATTCAATATAGCCTTCAGAAGCCATGTTTAGTTCAATTTTTCCATCTGTTTCAGCAATTGATCCAACAATAAGAATTTGTTTATTACTTCCATTTGTGTAAACCATATTTTTATCAAACAAAATGTCTTTGATTTCAGCAGAAATACTCATAGACCATCTGCATACTAAATATTCTAAATTCAGTGAAATATTCATGCAAGTGGAAATAGATGTTTTTGCAAGACGAAACCATGTTTACACCAGTTTACCTTTGTTGCATTTTAAGCCCTGTTTTTCTTGTGGAGCTTACTTTACTTTTACCTACATTTTTTGTCGTAGCACTTCTATTAATTTTCTCCCTGTATTTAGCTTCCTAAATTTCATTCTTCATCCTTCATATGTGTATTATGTTTGCATTTAGATCACTCAGAAGCAAACTTTGTGCTTAATATCTTTCTATTAATGTCTCAATCTAAAGAGTTGCTCTAAAAGAGACAGACTTTTCAGTTCACAGAGTATCAGCATAATGTAATTCCTTATCTGCATTTCTGATAGCACTGTTGAATTTTAAGAGTATAAATCCTGAATCCTGCAATTTTGCATCCAACTATTTTGAACTTCTATGTAAAGACTGAGACAAATGATGATGGTTGAGTGGAGCTAATGCAACTTTCAGACTAAAATAAGCAACACTTAAAGCCATACAACTTGCAATATGGCAACACTAAAAAAAAAAGTAAAAATGTTGGTGTTTCAGAGTTGTGTGATTACTGTTTCCACCTCTAATGAAGAAAGATACATTTTGCATAAGGCAGGTGACAACAGAAAACATTAATCTATCACTCAAACCAATCTGATTCAAAAACTCACATGATGCATGTATTATTGCTAAAATTCTTAAAGTAAGGAATTATCAATGGATGTGAAAAAAATCGGGATTTACGTACAACATTCCATTGGGATGATACGCGACTCAAGACTCATATTTTAATCATAGACTTTTAAGGCTACAGATATGGTACAATATTCACTGTCAGAGAGTTATTCCTACAAAAAGAGCTAAACTGCACTCCTTACTAAGATTTTTGAATAACAGCGAGAGTAGCAAGCTCTGAGAGGCATTAAAAATCAGAAGTATACATGTATATTACAAATACAACTGAAAAATACCACTTACCAAAATCATAACCTTCTGGAATCACATTGTGGCTGGCAACTCCCTGTTTTAAGTTAACCTACACACACAATGGAGTTAAAAATAAGTTGCATGATAAAATTTTATAACATAGAATGTTAGTATTTTAATACAGGTTTCACACAATCACTGTGATACACAGTACAATTCAAATATTCATCTATGCTCTAAACAGAGTAAGACTTCTATTTTTAGCTAATAAAAATCACTGAACAGTAAGATGACCATATATTTTGTGTAGTTTTGAAACTGGCAAAAGACTTTTTTAACCTCCCCACATGGGTGTGGTACTTCCATCACATAAAGACCCTTAACATTTACTATTTTTCCTAAAAAAAGCTATTAGTAACAAGACAATTCCCCAGGACATTGACACAAATGGAAGCAGAACTGAATGTGATGCATGCTTCATGCTTCACAGTACGAACAAGAATGCTAGATACATTATCTCATGCTTTACTTACCAACGATTCCTCACAACCACCGTGGTAGAACATCTCCGATTTCACATTCCAATAAGCAAAAAGGTTATCCAGTCGTACAAGCTGGAAATACAACAGAACATATGAATTAATACCTACAAATTTTAGATTAATAATTTAGATTTCACAAAAACTGGATGAGTAAAAATATTCAGAATATTCCTATTTTTCAGCCTATACAATTACATGTTTTCTTGATCTCCCTTTCTGTGGAAGGATTCAGCCTGTTTTATTAACAATTCTTTCTTTAGCATACAGTTTATACTGTACCTTGTAGAACAACTTGGCAGTTTCATCATGTAAACATGGATTCCAATTCTTATCTGAGGTCTGAAATAAGAATTAAACAAAGTTATTCCAATATCTGCAATATACCAAAGTTTTATCATCACTGAAACAAACCCTGGAAAAAAGAAAAAGATAAGAATATTATCATAAGGAAACCCCACTGAAAATAATGGTACACCATCTTCTGATTTAAGATAATTAAGCCATTATTTTAAGTGGAAACTTGATAAGGCTACTTCCTCTTCAAAAAAATACACATGTGTACATGCAGCGACTGGCAGGCTGCACACAAGAACCAAAAGATTCTTTAAAATTCTGTTTTCAGTATTGCAAACTATTTTCCTTTACACCAATATTATTTTTAGGTAGGCTCTTTGGAAAGAGATAAGCAAGGGCCTAGACTCCTGCTATAATTCTGGAAGCAGCAGTTTAGTTTGAGCCCAACAGAAAAACTATATGCTATTATACTTTTTCAAGGCTAATATGCATTTCAAGAGTGATTAGTAAGAATACCAAAGCTTTTGTTCACTATGCAAAACTGGGAAGGGGCTGGCAAAAGCCTTTCAATGTGCTAGGAGCAAGCACTCATAAGAATTATTTCATTCAAGAAAACAACATTTACTTAGACATATTTTTTCTTTAAGACTATCAGTTACACAGCAAAAGCTACTGAATCAGAGCAATGCAGCAGAATCAGCATATTGCTGCTACCAGGTAGTCCTCGAGAAAAAAAGTGTACAGAGTCTGATGACTAAAGTGGAGCTGCAGATCAAAGAACTGAGCTCCAGTCTGAAACAAGATGCCATCCTCTTTCTTTCCTTTTTTTGCCTCCCCAACATCAATTAGTAACTTCCTTTTTTGAGGCTCATGGCAGTTTCAGCAAAATATTCATAGATTCTGAATAGCCACAATCCAGCAAAGCCTGGTACTTGACAACCACAAAGCACAGCAGGCAGAAGAGTAAGAATTTCCTCTCAAAGGTCCTTCTCAACGTTAGCACTTTCTTTGATGGCACCCCATCACAATACTTGTGCGGGATTTGACAAAGCAAGTCGTTACCATTGTGCATTGCTAACGATTATAGGTACGCTTCCATTAGACAGTATGTTACCAGACAGCAAAAAAATACACAAAAATGTAACTTAACCTATCAGTGTAGATCAACATAGGTTTCAGATGAAAAATAAAATTACCTGCAAACTTAGATTCTGAAGTGAAATCCCAAATGACAAGGGGTTATTCCGATTTGTGATCTAATAGAGCAGGGGGAAAATGGCAAAAAAAGGATTACCTTATGCTCAAAATTTAGATTTGGAAGTAAATAGCCAACAATATACTTATATATAACACGCATATATATATCTCAAAGATCTGACAACTAATCTTCTTTGTATCCAACCGTACACTTACAAATATAATTATGCTTTGGAATAAGCTTTCTATAATTATTTTTTTTTAAGACTATGAAATTTCCAAAACTTTACTAAGATGCATTCAATGTGGAAAATAGCGAGAAGAAATCAGACAGATTCCTAATTTCATGTTACAGTGCACAACGCCTTATACTGAGATATATAAAAATACTTACATCATCTTCATAGCGAATATGGATGTTGGAAATCTTCATCTGAAGATTTTTGATGACCTGAGTGACCAGTTTTTCTACAAAAGTGTCTTGTTTCTCTTCTTTTACTTTATCTAAAATTAAAGAAAAATAATTTAATATTTTGTTTGCATTAAAGTATTTTTAAAACTACACTAGAGAAAGCAATGTAACAAAAAACTTTGTATGATAAATACATAAATTTTCTATTACACTGTACTCTAGTTGTATGAAAACATGTCTCTTTAACTGCTGCATAAAGAATCAAGTTGTTCAAAAATATCACTTGTACCAACTGATACACAAGGTGGCCAATATGTATTTCTTGAAAGTACCAAAAGTTGAATTTAAGATGGTTAAGTCTTAAAACGTATCAAAGAACAAATTAAACAGAAACTTTAAAAAGGTGCAATCATAAAAAATTCTTTGCTATTGGAACCAAATTGTTTCTTAAGAAATAAGAGGAAAGAAAAAGCCAGGCAACATATGACATAAGCAAGCACTATTTATATCAGATCACATCAATGCTTGAACCTTTTTATTTTCAGGATGCCTGTTCTGCAATACTGATGGCAGCTACACCTAAAAATCTGTAACTAATAGGTTTTTAAGTATCAAGATGAAAACAGGAATCTAAAACACTTTAAGTGGCAAATCCATCATCTTTCTAAATTAGAATAAAGAAAGAAACAGCGTCACTTCCATTAGTTTTTCCTACTCTTACCTTGGTCAGCTATTTTCTGCTTTGCTTCTTCTATCCTTTGCAATTCCCTTTGTCTTGCTTCCAAAAGCTGTCTGGCTTCTTTTTCAGCATCATATTTTATGCCTAAATACACAATGTAAAAACATATCATAGACAAAATCTTACACATTTTTGGAAGATGCTATTTCAAACGCAACAATTTTCACATTTTGTTATAGCTACATAACAGCAAAAAATCAGGTGACTAAATGTAAACTACTGAAAGATATCCCATTCCCATTATGTAACTATATTTGCTAGAAGTAGCTACTAGGAGTGAAGCTCCTGAAAACAACATCAACCCATTCCAGATACTTCTGAAATCCCACCAATCTACATTGATTTTTTTTCTCTACATTAACTTACTGGCTGTGGGCACAATAAGCAAGTAAACTCCATCAAGAACTGCCTCAACAGGTTGAGTATAAAGGTTTTGCCATGGAATCTGTAAGTTAAGTTGACCTACAAACACAAAAGGAAAAGGCTGAGGTACACACTTAAATAGTTGACTGGAAGGAAAAAAAAAAAAAGATTAGAAAGATAATCAACATTAACCACAAAATCTCTGAACAGCTATTACACTGGACAGAAAAAACACTGCATCTGAAGCACACGTCCTTTGGGTCATTTGTTTTACACAGCACACAAATGAGTATGAGGCAAGTTTTTCCATGAGCAGAATATTAAGTCTATAGGTCCTCTCCTTACTTCACCAAATTATAGTCCTTCTTCCCAACAGCAGCCTCTCCCTCCTTGCAAATCCACTGCTGCACCCTCATAAACAAGAAAAGCATAGGGAGCTCATAACTGGTCAGCTAAATACTCCCAACCCCAGAATTTTTAATACACATTTTTCTTTATTTTTCTGTGGAAGAGAGTCTTGAAGTAGTGTGTATGTTTTGTGAACATGGGGACCCTGAGGTTAAAGCATCTCGCATTCTTCACACAAATGCCAACTTTAATAAACTATGAAATCAGTCACAGGAAAACAGACACTTCGAGGGTAGATGTAAGCGAAACATAATGGCTTTAGACTTAGCCTGCCTCAAGAAATCACTAAATTTTACACAACAATCAACTCACAATGAGAAAACTTTTTGTATTAGCAAAAACAGGGAAGGAGGATAGAAAGGGAAGTGGAAGGCAAAATCAGTTGTGGAGTCTTGCACAAGGGATGAGATCCAGTCCTGCTCGGTTGCTCATCTTTGCTGTGTTGGGTTCTTCCCTCATTAATATTAAAGCAATTAGACAAGACTCCCATATATTTTAACTTCACCATCTCAGCTCAAGAAAAGGAGCTTCTTCAAACAGTTTTGTTTTGTTTTCAGAAAAGACAGCCTTCAGAGTGTACAAAGCATACAAATCAAGGAAACTAGGAAAATTACCTGCTTAGGATGCCTAGGGCCCCTTGAAAGGAAAAGTAGTATACTCTTGCATGGGTGTATGATAAAATGTAAACTTACCAATATGTCCTGCTTTAACTTTAAATGGCACATCCAGCTGACTCTGAAAGAAAGTGTTTCAGAACATTTAAACTCATTTCAGCAACTTGTGATATGTTCCCATATAGGGAAAAAAAAAAGATGATAACCTTAAGAACAAAGTTACCTTCCAACCACTGAAAAAAATCCCATTCAATATAATGGAACAAGCAAGTGTTTGGTCACTAATTTAGACTGTTAAGCCACGCTAAGCTAAATATAGTTGCAAGAGCAAGTTTCAGCAGCTATAGGGAGAAAAAAAAAAAAGCCTTTCAGTATGGCTTTTGACCTAAACATACTGTTTTAGCAATTGCTGAGAGTTTGGTTTGTTGGTTGGTTGGTTGGTTGGGTTTTAGTTGTGGTTTGGTTTCTTTTGGGGGGGGGTGTGGGGGGGTGTGGAAGCTAAATGAAGCCAGCAAACACCTTCACCTTTAAATTTAATCTCAAATTAATTACACAATCCACACAGTTGCAGAGAAAACAAAACAGTAAGCTTTCACTTAAAAGATACTGCAACCTAAAATAAGAACCAAAAAAAAAAAAACCCACGTACAACCCAAAACATCCTTCAAGAATCACTTTTGCAACAGTTTTATTTTTATTTTCACTAACTTACCAGAGCATTTTCTTTTATTTCAAGATTCTTCAGGGCTACAGCTCCTAAAAGCAAAGAAGTGAGCAAGTAAAACTACGATAAGCAAGGTAGTAGTTCTGCACAGTAAACATCCCAGCATCTGAGTCAGAAGACCTTGATCTGTGGTTCTTCAACTCTTTGCTGCGGAAGATATCCACAACATACACCTCAAATATGCATGAAAGATGATTAAGAACACACTGTTCATGCATGCTACAAAATAATATGTGATATTTTCTCATGGAGCTTGCATGTCCATGGAAAAGAACCTAAAATTCCTCAAAGTAAAAATGTTAGAAATGACTGTCACACTTTCTAAGGACCCATTTTGAAATTAAAAGTTTGCTTCTGTTTCCTCAACCATCTGCTTCCTATGCTTGTGGAAATCTAGCAACATTAAATTTAGAGTAAATTTTTAGCCCTCAAAAGATCTTACATCTGCAAGTTATATTTATAGGCTTATAAAGTTCACAGGAAATTTCAGTAAATCTAATTTTTAAATGTCTTAAGACAACAATAAATTCAGTACTCTGTAAACACAGAAAATTTGAACTGCAAGGTCTATTTTTACAACATCCTTGACATCGGACACTTGTCGTAACAAAAGAACATTGGAAAGGACCAAGAAACTCATAACTTCAAAACATGCATATTGTTCAAAGAAAAATCTTCTGCAAATCCTACAAGGACAGAACACCTGCAACGGTTGCCTTCAAATTAGTTGTATAGTGTTAACAAACACACACGGAACAGACACCTAATATAGCTGAGCAAGGGTGTAAATGAGATTCAGGAAAATAGAAGCAGATTACAGGCCTGGAAAGGAATACAACTTGAGACTGCAAATGAAGATTTGATTGACCCAGTAATGCTTTCTGTTTGGGGATGCAAGTTAGGAAAGGCCAAACATGGGGGGAGACAGGAGCTCCAACTGCAAGGAATATTGTTCAGTTATATAGTGCTAATGGCATTAGACTACTGTTCAAAGTACCACCAACTCTGGGAAACTGGACCCCCATCTCAAAAATGTATTCGTTAGAACAGTTGGCTCAAGTTGTTGAACTGCTGTGGAAGAGCTGATCAGAACTAATCCATCTTTCTTGTAGTACTCTCAAAATACTATAAAGTTTTAATGATTTAATTTATTAATTGCAACAATCTATTATCACTTTCCAGTAGAATTCTATACTTCTGACACATGTCACCATCAGACTTTCCAGAGAAACCCTACACGCAGAAGGATGTTTTTTGAGTGGTGGTTCTGCTTATAACCCCTACAATACAGACATATTGACAGCAACATTAAAGAAGGGGGGGAAAAAAAAAAAAAATCAAAACAAGCATTCCCAACAGTAGTCTTTAATTACACTAATAACTATAACTATTCTACATGTCTTTGTAAGTAATAACAAGGTGACAGTTTGTATATACCATTGGGTTCAATTCTACTCTAAATTTATTCCCTGATAAAGCTGACCCTGTACAGATCATTTTAATACTCATTAGAGAAAGTTTCATTATAAGACACACACACACACACAAGAAAAAAGGCATTTGCTTCTCCAAGAATTGTATTCATGGGAAGTAATTCTAACCGTGTCCAGAGAGAGAAGGTTCACGTTTGTAACCACGCTACCATGCATGAGATGCAATTTTTGCATGTCAGTTGAGCGATGCTAAAAATGTTCACAGGCAAACTCTAAGACAACATGACACATGAAGCAGTTTACCTGGTTTTCTTCACTTTCACCATCAGCTAAGTAAACATCACCTCTCATTTATCAGGGGTTTGGCACATGCCACATTTCATCCAAGACACAGTAACTTAAGCTGATTTGGCAGCCCTAATGCTTCTAAAAACGAGGTACTGCGAAGTGAGCAAGGATGGTTATTCCCAAGCACTTACAAACAATATTTTGTGATGGAGAAATATAGCTCATTTTACCTGAGCACATTGCAATGGCAGAGGATAAACACGGTATCAATACAAAGGCAAACTACCAAGCTAGTAAAGGATTTGGAGCATGTCTCGTATGAGGAACGGCTAAGGGTTCTGAGGCTGTTTAGCCTGGAGAAGAGAAGGCTGAGGGGAGACCTTATCGGTCTCCACAACTACCTGAAAGGAGGTTGCAGTGAGGTGGGGGATGGTCTCTTCTCCCTAGTAAGAAGCGATAGAACAAGGGGGAATGGCCTTAAGCTGCACCAAGGGAGGCTCAGGCTGGATATTAGGAAGAATTTCTTTACTGAAAGGGTTGTCAGGCATTGGAACAGCCTGCCCAGGGAGGTGGTGGAGTCACCACCCCTGGAGGTGTTTAAGAGATAGGCAGATGTTGTACTTAGGGTCATGGTTTAGTGGTGTTGGTAGAGCTAGGACAGATGTTGGACTTGATGATCTTGAAGGTCTCTTCTGACTGAAACTGTTCTAAGATTCTAAGGCAGCTTTGACAACACTACATGAAATGTTGGGATTGGGAAGCAGGGTAAATAATTCTTCACCATTCTTCCCATACTTATGATTTGACAATTAATAAGCTTAAAGGTTTTAGTTAAAAATCATTGGAAGAGACAGAAATCAATAAAACTTTAATCATCTCAATTTTAGTACAAAACTACCGAAACACGTTAACTGAAGTATCACAGCTTACTTACGAAAACCTTGATTGAGGGTCTGACCACAGTGAATGGACTATCAAAGCACACAAAAGGTTACTACTGAAACACAATGTTTTGTATATTTATGCCATCTTTCTTTGTCCTACACTTGAGAGAGCGCGCAAGAAAGAGATTGACTAAACATTCCTGCAAGTGAACATGAACGATTTCCAAAGTTACCACACCTTAGCTGGCAACCAATTCTAACACGATTTAGTTAGTGTTAGTATTCTCTTTCATTGCCAAAATTTAGTCTCTTTCACACTCAGCTGTTTCACTTGCAATGAAACAGGGCTCTAAGTGCAACTGCACTGAATCCTGACTGTTCTGCTGGGGCGGGGGAAACCCTCACAAACAGAAGCAGGAAAATCAGGGAACAAAGGCCTGTTACAGAACATAACACAGATACTGAATTTTACTGTCTTGGAGCACTGTCAATGGATTTTAATTGCACGAATTTCAAAATACACCAAGATTTCGTTGTTCGGTTTTGTTGGGCGTTTCGGCAGTTTTTTCCCATTGAGGGTAATTGGATGTTTCTTTGTTTTTACAACAGAAATGCATCCAGATACAACCATATTCGATGGCTTAAAAATTGCCCAACTAAGTAATCTTGAAAATTGTATATACACGTAGTTGGAGTTGTATAAATATATTGTGTTAAACATGCAAACTAACAGCCAAAACAATAATAAAAGCCACAATGTTTATAAATACCTATAGCACAGTATAGGATTTATTTAGGCTATACTATAAAACGAATTCTTAGCTTTACTGATCTCTGGACATTGTAAACAATTCAAAAAAGTGAACCACCTGTAGGGTTTTATGGTTTTAACTTTAGATACACAAAATAACTTCATGAGTCTGAGTGCATGAACCAACATCTACTACCAAGGACTTAGCGCACAAAAAAGAGATCTAGAGAATAACATAACACTCAGTAAACCATTTCATCACAAACGCCTAACTGAAATTTTGTTATGGATGTCCACAGAAGCTAAGAAGGGGGAAGAAAATTAATCCACATAAAAATCCTGCAGATTTAAGCTATGTATTAATCACATCTCTGTTGTCTTGTAAATGAGAAGGGGGGCAAGGGGGGAGGGGGCAC